TCCCTAAGATCAATGACATAATTGCTAGCATATTAGTAGATATCACGAAAATACAGAAAAGGGGAGACAATGAATTAAGCCCTTGCTTTCCTAGAACATTTTCTGGCTCGAGTCTCCCGTGGAATAGTTTTCAACTAGTACAAGATAGCTCTTTCAGGATAACAAAAACAACCTTTTATCCATTTTACCGCAAAATGAAATTCAGCTGAATAAAGCTGTCTCAAGGAAATGAAACATTTTCAAATTGTAAAAACAACAGCAAGTACTACAATTCCATCTGTTTATTCTATATCAAAACTTTTTTATCAAAGTAGTGAGCAAGTTCAAATATGATATTAAAATTTGAAAAACTGAACCTATAAGCAGCGTTAAAGTAGCAGCGTTAATCAAGAAGATAGTCTACACCAGTTGTCTAAATCTGCCTATGTATGATATAGGCACCAGACGCTGTAAATGTATAAAGAGTATACTTTTGCTCACCTTCATAAAAAAGTATAATGGTATAATGCTGTTATGACAAACAAAAAAGGACAGATCAAAATATTGCTATGAAAAACAAAAAAAAGAAGACAAAAATCCTGCTATGAGAAACAAAAATATTGCTATAAAAACAAAAGAGAAAACAAAATCCTGCTATGAGAAACAAATAGAAAAACCAAATCCTGCTATAAAAACAAAAAAGAGAAAACAAAAATCCTGCTATGAGAAACAAAAATAGAAAAAACAAAATCCTGCTATGAAAAACAAAAAAGAGAAGACAAAAATCTTGCTATGACAAACAAAAAAAAGAAAGACCAAAATCTTGCTATGAAAAACAAAAAAGAAGACAAAAATCCTGCTATGAGAAACAAAAATAGAAAAAACAAAATCCTGCTATGAAAAACAAAAAAGAGAAGACAAAAATCTTGCTATGACAAACAAAAAAAAAAGAAAGACCAAAATCTTGCTATGAAAAACAAAAAAGAAGACAAAAATCCTGCTATGAGAAAAAAAAATTGAAAAAACGAAAATCTTGCTATGACAAACAAAAAAAAAAGAAAGACCAAAATCTTGCTATGAAAAACAAAAAAGAAGACAAAAATCCTGC